GGGAATTAATTTCCTTTCAAGAGAGTACTTATGCAAAACGAAATTCTTCTGACTTATTTCAAAATAGCCATTTTTTTCCCTCATTCTGTGGGAAGCAGGAAGTCATTTTCTCTGATCTTCATTATGAGAACCTGGTAGGGTAACACTATCTAGTTTGTGGGATCCCCTGAAACTGGACCTCTATAGTTTTTACCACTCAAAGTAGTTCACACTCATCCTTCAGCAGTTCACCGTGACCTACCCTTGTTCTGCTTACAGATTTCTGTTCCAGTAAGTTAAGATTCTCTGGTTCTGCCTCTTTGTCTCCTCAGTTTGGAAACAGGTTTTCCTCTTGTCTTTACTTCTCTGAGTCTAGAAGAGTTGAGAGCCATGTGTGTTTGGTGCATGCCTGTAATTCCAGCTTCTTGGTATGCTGAGGAAGGAGGGTTGGAAATTCAAAGCCAGCAAGACTCTATCTCAACAAAAGGGGAGGGGAGCTTGGTGTAGCTCAAGTGATAGCGCAGGCCTAAGATCTGGGTTCAGTCCCCAGTGCCACACCAAAAAAAGCCATAATAAAGTTGTTACCGAGTTTGTTTTTCTCCTTGTGTGAATGAGAATGTTGCCTTCTGTCTTCCATGCTGGACAGGAAGTGGGAAGTAATGTGAGTTCAACGTTTAACCCACAGCATTCCACTTCTCTCTGCCCAGATCAAGATAAGGTGATCAGAAATCCTGGGGGCTTCCTCCTTTGCAGCTGGCAGGAGACTCAGACCACTTTAGCCCTCTGCCCATGGGAATGAACTCACATTTCCCTGACAGAGTGAACTCACTTTCCTGATAAGTGCAGTGAAGCCTTGGGAGCTCCTTTTCTTGCTCTGTTAAGACTCTTCCTTTAACCAGGTACCAGTGGCTCAAGCTCAGGAGGCAGAGATAAGGAGGATGGAGGTTGGAAGCCAGCCCTGGGCAAATAGTTCCTGTGACTTTATTCAAAAATTCCCAACACGAGACAGGGCTGGTGGAGTGATTCAAACCTCAGTACCCAAAACAAAACAAAACAAAACCCTCTCAAGCCCTCAGTTGTGGCCTAATAAGGTTTTGCACATTCTTTTATCTGTGCTACATTGACACACATCTGCAGGTGACCGTTATAATTGGCTTCACAGTAGGATGCTTAGACCTTGAACACCTACCCCTTTGTCTGTCTTCTGTCCTGTGACTGCCAACCTGGTGACTTCAGGTACTCAAACCTGCTGTGACATGCACTACTCTGTATTTTCTCCCAAATCTGTGAATTGAAACTCAAGATTGCTACATTTCAAGACAAACATGCACACAAACTAGGATGTGCTTTTTCATCCTTAATTCTTTGTGTTTATCATCAAAAGACAAAGCTGGCTGTAGTGGTATATGCCTATAATCCCAGCATGAAGGAGACTGAGGCAGGAGAATCATGAGTTTCAGGCAAGCCTAGTCTACATGGTGAGACCCTGTCTCAAAAAACAAAGAAAAAAAGAAATATATTCAAAAGCAAGTGAGGTAAAAGGTTTTGGTACGATTTTAATAGCAATCTAAATATACTTAAGATCCTCATTAAGATTCCTAACATCAGCTGGGTGCTGGTGGCTCATGCCTGTAATCCTAGCTACTTGGTGTTAGAATGAAAGGTGCAGACTGGATAGGTGGGTAGATGGCTCAAAACGCCAGCACAGGGTTTATTGTCGAGAAGTGGTCCTACTGAGCGGATCCCAGGCAAGAGAGCTGGAGCCCACAGCCGCTTACAGACTGGGGGTGGATAAAGGAGATAGGTGGAGAAGTCCCAGGAAGGTCACTGGACATGATAATCCTCAATGACCCTCTAACCCTCCTGAGGTAATGGCTTAAGGGTGGGTCATTCTAGGCCAGGTGAAGTTTCCAATAAGTCACCTTCAAGGCTGGAGGGGGTCCAGTTCTAACATGGCTTCCTTTTGTTCACCTAATACTTGGGAGGCTGAGATTGATAGCGTTTCGAGGCCAGCCCAGGTAAGTTGTTCTCAAGACTCCGTCTGCAAAATAACCAAAGTAAAATGAACTGGAGGTGTGGCTCAAGCAGTAAGAGTGTCTTCACTGCAAGCATGAAGCCTGAGTTTAAGCCTCAGCCTCACCAAAAAAAAAGTTCCTAACATGGCCATAGGCAGTCACAACAGATCCCTGCCTAACTTCTGTCATATACCATAAGTGATTCTGTGGTTATTTTTCTTACTTTTCCTATTTCTTTTTCTTTACCATCTGGTATTTTTCACTAAGCAGTGTTGTTTTAGTTTCGCCTCCTTTGAGAAAATGAGTCCTAATGGAATTGCAATGGAAAGGTTTATGAGCATTTTCCGTGCCTAGGAATGTTTCAGAAATGCTAGGGTCTGAGGGTGTGGGCTAGATTATTCATTCCTAGGGTTTCTTTTACTCAGGGTTTTTCAGGCTGACTTTATTTTTTTAACCCCCTCCCCCCCTTTGGCAGCTTCATGCTTGCTAGGAAGGCGTTCTTAGTGCTTGAGCCACTCCACCAGCCCCTCAGGTTGACTTTTCTTCTTTTTTTTATGTTCAGTCACAGAACTTTATTTTAAACCAACTGTAAGTACCTAAAGATTAAAAGTCAAAAAGCAGAAAAGCAAACATAAACAGTCATTGTTGTCTATATCCTGCTTATTCTAGTGACCAAGAGGAGTTCTAGTGAATGTCAAGCAAAGGATGGCTCTGGACTAGGGACAGTTAAAAGGCTTGTTGCTGCTGCTGTTGTAGTGGTTGGTGGCATTCTTGAAGGAACCCACCTGTTCTTTTTCTCATTTCTCATTTCATGACCTGTTGTCTAAATTGCCAAAGCATCCCTTTTCCTACAGGAAAAGACTAGAAATAAATACTTATGCATAGTGTGTTACCTACTTACTATCATCACAGAAAGTAATATTAAATTAAAAAGTAAACCACTTATTGGAATAGTGCCTGCCGTTGGTGACTCAGTAATGAACTTCATCTCCACTTCCACTTATTACTCTGCCATCTTCAAATTAACAAAACAACCTTGATTAAACCCCACTGGTTAATAGTTTGGTGAGTTAATTCAAACAAGACTCCCAAATCTTATGACATAAGCACTTCGGCATCCTAGAGGCTTATCTGGGCCAAGATAAGTTACCTAGTTTCATGTTAAAGTCCTTAATGTTATAGTTTGAAAGTCCTTTCTGTGTGTTAGACAAGCTGCTGCTTTTCCCCCTCAGAAGATTTTTCAGCATTGGTAGAATTTGTTATTCCTAGTAGCCTTGGTCAAGTATTTTGGTTGACTACTATTTTGGAGGAATTTAGGGGAATTTTTTAAATTTAATTTTAATTTTATGTTTTGATGGTACTGGAGTTTGAACCCAAGGCTTCACGCTTGCTAGGCAGGCACTCTACGGCTTGAGCCACTCTGCCAGCCCTTTTTTTTGTGATGGGTGTTTTTGAGATAGGGCCTTGCAACTGTTTGCCAGGGCTGGTTTTGAACTTCGACTCCTGATCTCTGCCTCCTGAGTAGCTAGGATTACAGGTGTGAGCCAGTGGTGTCCGGCAAATGGTAATTATTTTACTTACTTATTTTTTGGTGGGACTGGGGTTTGAACTCAGGATTTCACACTTGCAAAGCAGATGCTCTACCACTTGAGCCACACCTCCTGAATTTTATAAATATGTATGAGAGATATCTTGGTGACATTGCATCTTTTTATCTTCCTCTTTCCCCCCTTTTCATTCCCTTTTGACATTCCTCAACAAAAGGTTTAAGTAGCATGTTTTCCAAGTTTTTAATTAGTACATGACAACTGTTTTTTTTTTTTTAATGGGGCACTCTATGATATTTCAGTACTTGTTCACAATATGTGATGAATAGATTACATATCCATCATCTCAAACATTTACTATTTCTTTGTGTTAGACACATTAAAAATGTTCTCCTTCCCATTTTGGAGTATATAGTAAATTATTGTCAATGATAGTTACCTAATTTCTCTGCCATGTATTTATCTTACCTAGTTTTGAGCTAAATTTGATCTGTAGAGCACCAGGTTCGAGCATACAAATGTTGTCCCTTAGTGTGATCACTGAGGATGTGCCATGATTCCCAGATAACAAGTTGTACCAACTGTCGTGAAATGGAGCTCATTAGCAAATGGACACTAGTTAATAGTGTCCAATAAGCACAATTAGTATGCCCAATAATGAATTCATCATTGCCTTGGGAGATTTTGGGGGCTACTCAGGTGGACTGTTTCTATGGAGCATGTAAGAAAGGTACAAAGTTTTAGGGGGAAAACAGGAAGCAAATGCCGTCCTGCTTGTATGTGTATAAACTGATTAGGCAGACTGAGTTCTTGTCAACTGGATTGGTAAGCTCCTTCTCTTATCAATAAAGGAGGTAGGATGAGTTAATGAGTATTTGTAAGAATACAAAGTCTTTTTTTTTTCTTTTTAATTTTTTAATGGTGGTGGTAATGGGGTTTGAACCTGGGGTTCCCCCTTGCAAAGTAAGCACTCTGCCACTTGAGCCACACCCCAGCCCTAAGAATAAAAGTCTTAAGACTGATGGTGTTATCTCTATTTTGTACAGTAGGTGGGAGGACTAGTTTTTTTTGAATCAGAATCTTGCTATGTAGCCCAGTGTGACCTCGAACTTGTGATCCTCCTGCCTCAGTCTCCCATGTGCTAGGATTACAGGTATATACCACCACACTGGCTGATAGCAGCACTTAGAGAAATGCTACATACCATACAATGAGATTTTAGTACATCTCAACTTGCCATTGAGAAATGTGCTTCTCTTCTGCTGTTTGTTCATGGGAATGGTCAACTTGAGCATAAGAAAAGGTATGTGGGAGGGCCTGTGAACCTGTCCACCAGCCAGGTCATGCAGTGGAAGTTTGGGGTTCACAGAGTCTGTGAACTGCCTGGGAATTGAAGTACAGGTCCCCAGATAATGTCAGGCTCACTCTTCTTCCTGAAAATGTATTTGTGATATTTTAGGAGTCAGTGACCCTTGAGGATGTGGCTGTGAATTTCACACAGGTAGAGTGGGCTTTGCTGACACGTTCCCAGAAGAAACTCTACAGAGATGTGATGCGGGAAACCTTCAGGAACCTGGCTGCTGTAGGTAAGGGTGACGTCATCATTCCTTCATTTAGTCAGTTACAAAGCAAGTGCTTTTTTGAGGGGTTGGGGGGGCTACTGGGGTTGAACTTTGAGTCTTGAACTTGCCAGGCAAGTGCTCTACAACTTGAGCCAAGCCCCCAGCCCTTTTTGCTTTTGTTATTTTTCAAATAGGGTCTTACTTTTCTGCCCAGCCTGACTGGGACCACAGTCCTCCTATTTATGCTCCATGTATAGTTGGGATGATAGATGTGTGACATTATGCCCAGCTTTTTATTAGTTGAAATGGACTTTTTGTTTGGGCTGGCCTTGAACTGCAATTCTCCCAATCTCCACATCCTAAGTGGAGGATTACAGGTGTGAGCCATTGTGCCTGGCAAAATAATGTTTCTTGCTCATCAGTGTTCAAAGATTTGGAACATGAAAATGGAATACTTTGGTGAATAAATTCAGCATGGTTGCAATGTAGCATGAACCTAGAACTTCATAATTCTTTTATAATGTAATGATTTTTCTGTGTCTACATTGTAGGACAAAAATGGGGAGACCAGACCATCAAATATGTATACAGAGATCCTAAGAAAAGTCGAAGGTAATTTTTACTCATAAAAGAAAGCAATGGTCCTCAAGAAATTTGAAGTGGCAAGAAATATTTAAGACAAGCACACTAAACAAATAATCTCAACCCTGAAATAATTAGCTATGAAAAATTCCACCAAAACTGCATATAGATTGGACATCCTCATTTCAAAAATTCAGGATCCTAAAGGCTCAGATACCCTAAACTTTTTGATCCTGAGCATGATGTCACAAGTAATACTTTGGATGGTTTAATGTATATGAACTTTTGTTTCATGTAAAAAAAATTAATAAAACTGCATGAAATTACTTTCAGGCTTTGGGTATAAGTTCTAAACATAAATAAATTTCATACTTACACTAGAATCCAACAATTTTTTTGGTGGTATTGGGTTTTGAACTCAAGGCCCCATGCTTGATATATAGGAGCTCTACCACCTGAGCCATTCTGCCAGTCCTGTTTTGTGTTGGGTATTTTTGAGATACAGTCTTGCTTTTATTGCCCAGCTGGCCTCAAATCTCTATCTTCCTGATCTCTGCCTGGGATTACAGGCATGAACCACCAGTGCCTGGCTTGATCCCATGCATCTTAGATGAAGAACACTCAAAATCTGCTCTTTCCTGTGACCTAGTTGTTCATTGTTTGGAAGAGTCAACTTGGAAACAGAACTGGGAAACCTCTTGTGAGGTTTGATGGTACTGCTTTGATTACTTTGGTAACAGTTGATACGAAGCCATCATGCCCAGCATTCTGTCCAAGAGTGTTTGCATGGTTTATATGGGTTGAAAAGCCTAAACATTCTCTAATGGTGTTAAATGTAAGTCTAGCCAGGTGATCCTAGCTACTCAGGAGAACAGAGGATCACAGTTCTAAGCCAACCTGGGCAAATAGTTCTCGAGACCCTGTCTTGAAAAAACCCATCACACCAGCTGCGGCTAGTGGAGTGGCTCAAGGTGTAGGTCCCAAGTTCAAACCCCAGAACTAGGGGGAAAAGAAAGTAAGTCTAATTCCTATTAATAATGTAAAATCATTAATATCTCTTTGTAATGTATGGCTCTTTCATTGCAGAAGACAAGTGTTGAAGAGATGTGAACATGAAGAAAGTAGACAACGCGGAAAAATGTTCAGCTGGAATCTAGAGTATATCATAAACATGAAAACTGGAATAAAACCATGTGAAACCCATGTGTGTGGACAAGCATGCACTGGCCATTTATCCTATGAGAGGCATATTGTATCTGACTCAGGACACACTAAGAGACCCTATAAGTGTAAAAAGTGTGGTAAAGCCTTTAAGTGGCCCTGTGACCTTCGAAATCATGAAAGAACTCACACTGGAGAGAAACCTTATAAATGTCAGCAATGTGGGAAAACTTTTGGTTGTTCCACTTACTATCGAAGACACGCACGGACTCACACTGGAGAGAAGCCTTACGTATGTATGCACTGTGGCAAAGGCTTTAGATGTTCCAGTTTCCTTCAGATACATGAAAGAATTCACACTGGAGAGAAACCTTACGTATGTACGCACTGTGGGAAAGCCTTCACTCGTGCCAGTACTCTTCGAATACATGAAAGAAATCACAATGGCGAGAAGCCTTACGTATGTGAGCAATGTGGAAAGGCCTTCAGAGAATATGGTAAAATGAAAAGACATGAAAAGATTCATACTAGACAGAAGTCTTATGTGTGTGAGCATTGTTGGAAAGTCTTCAGGTTCTCCAGTTCCTTTCAGAAACACGAAAGGACTCACGCTAGATAGATACACTAAATATAAATATCATGTGACCATTGTAGCATACATGAGAAAGCATGATGGAAAGGACTCATATCAATAAAGATTGTGGAAAAGCCTCTGGTCATCTCAGTTCAGTCCACAGATATTAAAACAAAACAAAAAAGCAGTATGGAGATAACCCTTTAATAGAAGCGATGTGCAAAAGTCATCAGTTGGCCCTCATGCAAGAAGGTGCACTGGATCAGAGCCATGTGAATGAAAAGTATAAGAAAGTTATCAACCATAAGAGTTTCAGTGTCTCATGAAAATTCCTCATGAAATCCTATGAATGTAAGTAATACGAAGAACCTAATGCAAAGTAATTTCTGTAAAATGACCCAGAAAGTACAGGACCTGTAGGAAACCTAAATGCTATAGATGTATTGTGTTCATCAGTGACTCATTCTTTTTTGGGGTTTGGGCTCACTTGCATAGCAAATACTCTACTGCTTGAGCCATACCTCTAGTCCATTCTGCTCTGGTTATTTTGAAGATGGGGGTCTCGCCAACTGATTTGCCAAGGCTGACCTTGAACCATGATCCTCCCAATCTCAGTCTCCCAAGGAGTTAGGATTGTAGGCATGAGCCTTTGGTGCCCGACTCATCAGTAGGTCATAAGTACATCTCTAGACATGGATGTGCCATCCATGCTATTGAAAGCAAGCATGGTGACATAATACAGTTGAAGCAATAGTGTTTGAGTTTTATACATCATGTTTTCTTCACTCAAGTTGGTTGATGAAATTGGGATTATCCTATTGGCCTAAAGTGGTGTGTTCTAGATATGTCTTTGTGTATATTCCATGTGACTTTTTCATGGAAAAATAATATTTTTTGAGCTGGTCATATACCAGTAGAGAACTTGCTTAGCATGAGTGAGGCAATGGATTCAATCCCCAGCACTAAAAGAATAAATTAAAAAAATTTGTGTACCATAAAATTTAATATAAACTCTTAACATGTAACTTAATATAAATAATAATTGTATGTTATATATAATTAAAATATAAACAAATTATAAAAATACTTAAAATGCACCTTTAAAAATACTTTTTGTTTGTTTTGGTGATACCAGGGTTTGAACTCTACCTCATACTTGCTAGGCAGGCACCCTACCACTTGAACCAATCTACCAGGTTCCCCAGTTTTTTATTTTTTTATTTTTTTTTTTTTTGTGCTCCTGGATCTCAACTTAGGGTCTACACCTTGAGCCACTTCACCAGCCCTTTTGGTGTTGGGGTTTTTTGAGAGAGGGTCTCGTGAATGTTTGCCTGGGCTGGCTTCAAACTGGCACCCAGCCCCAAAGTATGTTTTTGATGGTATTGGAACCTTTGCTTGCTAGGCAGGTGTTCTACCACTTAAGACACACCCCCAGTCCTTTTTTATTTTTCAGATGGTGTCTTGCATTTTTTGCCCAGGCCAGCCTTGGATTATGATCCTCCCACATATCTAGGATCACAGACCTGTGCCACCACTGCCTGACTTACTGGTTGAGTATGGGGTCTTGCTAACTTTTTTACCCAGGCTGACTTCAAACTGTGATCCTCCTAATCTCCACCTTCGAAAGATCTGGGATTATAGGCTAGAGCCAGCCAGCCAGCCAATTATATATTTATTTATTTTTATTTATATATTTTATTTGCAATACTAGGGATAGAACTCTAGGCCTTTTGCATGCTACTCAAACACTTCTGCCACTGAGGTACAGCTCCAACCCTAATCTTTTTCTTTTTGAAGTATTATGTTTTTCAAACAAGTTTTTGTACATTTTTTAAAAGTAATTTATTTGCTCTTTCAGACAACTTGTAGACTAACAAATGTTTTTCATTTACTGAGAAGATAAATTGGACTGGTGGAGTGGCTCAAGTGGTAAAGTGCCTGCCTAGTAAGCATGAAACCCTGAGTTCAACCCCCACCCCCCCAAAAATAAGCCAAAAAACTGAGAAGATAAATGAAAATATCACATTATAATCATAAATCAGATTAAGTTTACAACTTTGCCAAGTTTATTTGTTTTGTTCTGAGAAGGGTTGTTGGGGCGACCTTTGCCCCAGCTGGCCTCCTCCCAAGTGCTGGGAGTATTGGTGTGTACAGACTGTTGCCAAGTGTTTTGTTTAGCACTGGGAGTTATTATTACAATGTAAATCTACCTTCAGCTGTTTTTTCCTTGTGTAAATTTTATTGTATTATTTTATTTTTGCAGTACTGGGGCTTGAACTCAGGGCCTATACTTTGAGCTACTCCACCATCCCTTATTTGTGAAGGGTGTTTTGGAGATAGGGTCTTATGGAACTATTTTGCACGGGCTGGCTTTGAACCACAATCCTCCTGATCTCTGCCTCCTGAGTAGCTAGGATTACAGGCGTGAGCCACCAGCACCTGGCTGTAAATTTTATTTTTCATGATTATATTGTTAATACTCTTGAATTTTGAACTGTGCATGATGGCCCTCAGCTGCAATTCCATCACCTGGGAAAGTTTGTAAGTTCAAGGCTAACCTGGGTTATAGCAAGATACTGGCTTCCAAAAAAAAAGTTTGAATTTTGATCATAATTTCTATTTTACACCAAAAGTTAAATCATGCTTTCTGATAGTCCTCCTGCCAAAACTACCAGGATCATGTCTTCTGTCACATAAGATGCAATGCGTCTGTCCACACACTGTAACTCACTGGTTCATCAGTAAGAACAGTCTCAGTAAATTTCTTACAGGTCTAATGTTTCTTTTGTGAGGATTGATTGCTGGTCCGTTTAGTGAGGTGTCTTCCTCGTGGATGCACTGAGGGGTTGATTGCAGTTCTGTCTTTAGTTTATCAGAGGAGTGCTGTGGTAAGGCAGCAGTAATGAATAATGAAGTGAGAGTAAACCGAAGTCGTGAGAAGTACCAGTCAGTCACATAACTAAGAAGAGGGGAATTTTGCTCATTTTTTTATCTTAAGGGTGTTTTGTTTTTTTACCAGATTTAGAGGTACATTTACAGGATGCCTTTTACTGGATGTCTTTTTGTCTGTATTCATCCTCATTACTCAGGAGCATTATCTAATGGTGGAGGTGTGTGACTTGTATCTTCACAAGTTTTGTTGTAAGTCTTGTGTCTTGTGAGCCCCTGTCTTCTGGACTTGCTTTTGTCTTTCTGATTTGTTATCTAAACAATGAAGTACTTCTTACCATTTATTATTTACACTGCTGTTCGTAAATAATAGATGTTGTTAAAGTTAGGTTGGGGTTATGTTTCCATAAAAGTAGGAAGAAAATCTTATAGCTTGAAATTATACTTAACACACCTAAACCACTGAACATCAAAGCTGAGCTTAGTCTACATGAAAGTTGCTCAGATCACTTAGATTAATCTACAGTTTCTGTTGCATAATATGGTATTGAATTGCTTGTGTAATTCATTATATGCAGTGTACTATATGGTATCATTTGCTTTCTCTCATGGTCTTGTGTTGAAGTGTGAACTGAGATCACTGCTTACCACTTACTGCTGTTGTGGTGAAACGTCAGACCTTGAAATTTGTCGACATTTTCTGGTGCGTGCATATTGCTTTCTTGTTGTAGCATCAGAAATGGTAAGCCAACCATGATAAGTGAGAGATCCTTATTGCAGTTAAAATACATACATTGACTTACTCCTTAGCAAGCTGTATAGTAACTTCACTTTAAATCTCCTTTATGAGTTAAGGAGAGCAATATGTTTAGGTACAACCCTGGAGACACAGTCACTGTTAAAAGTTAAGCTTTTGTTGCTTAGAATATGCGCTTTGATGGTAATTTTATTTTTTTTTATTAATTTTAATTTGTATTTTTTGGCAGTACTGGGATTTAAACTCAGTGTCTCATGCTTGCTAGGCAGGCATTCTACCTCTCTTAAGAGAAAGTAAAGCTCTTTTGCTTTAGTTATGCTTTTAGCATTTATTTATACAAGAAAGGGAGAAAAGTAACTGCTTTGAGTTTTATCCACAAGTAGAGAAAATCTGCTCTTTGTCCGTCTCTTCAGTTATGTCTTCTTCACCCTATGGATATTATCTGATCTCACAATTGTTAGTATCTCATTTGCTCTTTTCTGTCCTTCTCCCCAATTTTTCCTTGGTCTATACAGATGGCATTTTAGGAAGCCCTTGTGATATGTGCAGCATGAGGCCAGTGACAGCAGGAGTGAATGTTTATTACTAGCTCATAAGGTGCAACAGGCAGAATTTACCAGAACACAGAGAGACTCTGAGCTTCAGTAGGATTGAGATGCTAATTGAGCAGGAGCTGTGGCCTGTAGAGGAGGGAAGTTGGACTGCCATGCCTTCAGGACACCAGGGAGCAGCTAGGAGAGCCAGTGCCCTGAGTTCTTTTGCTGGCTGTTTCCATGTTGGCTTCTCCCATTGACGGAATCAACCAGAGTCCAGAGGCTATAGGATTCTGACTTGTGGTACTTACAGCCCAGCTTCCTTGGTCACAGGGAATTGTGGGGAAGAGTGGATCTACAAGATGAGTAAGTGCCTTTAGCACTGGGTTGGTTTTTGCTTTTCCTTAGTCCCAGTTCGGGTATCAAGTGTTTGGAAAGTCATTGTGTGGGTTTTTTAAAGGGCAGAGATTGTTAGTTTCCTTCTCCAGCTTCCTGCACTAGACATCAAAGTTTTCTCCTTGAGGTAAGTTAAGTAGGATTATAACAGCTTGTTCCCCATTAGATTATAATATGTGAACAGGAGTTGAAAAGAAGGAAATTTGAACATGGTCAGCTCCACTGCCCAGCTTAGTATACCATTTACAGTGGTGTAAGTGTACAAGTGCATAGATACTCCCAATATTGTATAGTTCAACTTCACAGAGTTTCAACTTTATGGTAGTGTGAAAGTGATAACCATTCAATAGAAATTTTGAAAACATTTTCCTTACTGAAAATTTAGAATTTTTTTGCCTTTGGAACTGTAAACCCAAGTGTCACTCACCTCTGTCACTAGTCCCTGCCCTCAACTCCTCCTTACCTCCGTCTCAAGCTACATCCTCTCCAAGCTACCCTGGCCTTCATTATTCCAGCTGAAATCTTGGCACTGGCAGTTCCCTGCTTCCAGAATGCACATTCCATGACTAGCTGTTTTGCATTCTTTAGGCCTCAGCTCTTATGTCCTTGAAGGGTCCCAACATGACCCCCTCTCTAGAATGCATCTCCTCATGTATTCGTGGCCAGCCTAGGCTACATAATGAGACCCTGCCTCAAAGAAACAAAAATTTTAAGAAAATTTAATAAGTCAGGCATGGTGGCTCACCCTTGTAATCCTAACTGCTTAGGAGACTGAGATTGAGAGGATTGGGGTTTGAGGTCAGCCTTGGCAGTATTTCCACGAAACGCCATCTCCAAAATTATCAGAGCAAAATGGACTGGAGGAGTGGCTCAAGTGGTAGAACACCTGCTTTGTGAGCATGAAGCACTGATTGCAAACCCCAGTCCCACCAAAAAATAGAATAGAATGCCTCTCCTTGTGGATCCAGTTATTCTGCATTATGCCTCACAGCATATTTTCCTCTCTGAAATTGCATTACATGATTTGGTCACTAATGTATGTTTGTGCCCCCTGTCTCACCAGCTCCTAGTCTAGAATGTGAGTTCCCTGATGTTTGGAAAGTTTATTCTTGGCTCCATGGTCTTGGCAGTTACTTCCTGAATGGCTAACTGGAGATTCCCAGGGCCTACTTTCCTGGGAGAAGTCCTCCGGGAGTCCCAAGTCTCGAAGGAGCTCTTGGGAAGGCCCTTAGGTTTTCAGTCCCCAGAGATAGTTACCCAGGAGTTTCAGGCAGGACAGACTGCCAGACATATTGCTTAGTTGGCAGTATGCTTTTTGATACTTCTCCCACTCAGCATTGTGGATGAGGACAAAAAAGAACTGGTACTCACTCTACAG